TCATTTTCCCGATATTTGACTTTGAATCTTTCAAATTTGGCATTTGAAGAAAACCGCTGAACATTGATAGGCCGTATTTCGGTTCCTATTATATCGCAAAAACCTGTAGTTAAAACGTAAAAAAAATTTCATCCCCGGGATGGGGTGGCAACCACCCCCAAGGCTTTGGCGCACTTTGGTTCGATACAGATTTTGATCCTTAGGCTATTACCTACCTTCTGTTAAAATTTCAAGTTAATCCACGCAGGACGAAAAAATTACGAGGTGAAATGCTTCATTTCCTGGACTATGTGGTTTGACAGCATAATAAAATCGTAGATTTATGTGTAGCTTTCAATTTTTATGAGTTCAGAATCCAGCAGCACGTAGAAGTATTGGGTTTTTATAATATAATTATTTGACAACCTTTTGTTGGCCAACCTCCTACAGCAGAAATGAGCCGAAATACATGATGTTTCCTATGTTCCGAATTTATTTCGTTCAATCTGTATATATAAAGACAGTAAAATAATATATGTTATGTTCCTGAAAGAAGAAAAATAAGAATAATTCACAAATATCGACAAAGTTCAAACTATTTTATAAGTTTTTGTAGTGTACCAAAATGCATGTAATTTATCAATATAAAAGATGCAATGGCCAAGTTTTTGCAGTGTACCTACCTAATACATGTAAAAACTCTCATAAGAATTACCAAAACTCCTTACCGATTTCTAACAGTGTACCTGAAAGAGAAATAATATAAATCGTATCTAAATATCGGCGGCTCTAAACTGCAGAGTCCGAACAAAATAAATGCGGGTAAAAATGTTAGGAAATAAAACACAAGTTAAATCTTTATTTCGTACTTCCTTTTTAAAGGATATATTCTCGTTCGATGGCTAAGTCCTGTAAGTAAGCACTTGGCAAAAAAATCCTGTAAGAGAAGAATTCCTTACACGACTTGTAAGTCCCGTGTTAATCTAAGTTTTGAAAAAAGACAAAGATTAACTCGGCTACACAACGACGCTTCTGAGCGAAATATCAGCAAATTTCGACTAAGTCGAAATTGCATAAATAAATCGCCCAAAAATGGCCGCCTGGCTTGCGCTCGCAAACCGACAAAGATTCACACTGGAACTTCGCCAAGACTAAAGTTGGTGGAACGTGAGGTTCCGGGTTTAAAGGTGAGTTAAAGATGAGAACGTGTCGTTCTGGGTTTGAGGCTCAGAGAACTGAATCTATCTGAGGATCTCGACTTGCCTTAGGAGGCTGGACTGGCAGACATATCCTGACCCAGTCTCCTTTCCTGGCCGTCGTGCACTTCTTTTATAGAAGAAAAAGTAGGTCAAATCGTAACGGTTTTCCAACCGTCACTTTTGCCTTTTCGCACGACGACCAATGCCCAATTTTCTGTATTATCATTGGCTGCAACTCAGGTGCATTTCTACCAATGATAATAGCGAAAATGAGCAACAGAATCCTGAATTATAATTGACTGCAATTACTGTTGCCATTTGACCAATCACAATTCAGGAGGCTGGGCGACAATAGTATACCTAATAACAGAAATAATAAAAAAAGGAAACATGAGAGAGAACAAGATAAGATGGGAGAAAAGAAAATGACAGAAGACCTTAAGACTGTTATTCCCATTTTATGGAATAAATCAAAACAACAAATCAAATAAATCAAAAGATGGACTACTCCTTCGCACTGTCAGCCCTACAGACTGGATAAGTAGCGGGGCAGCCGAAGTAGGGTAGGCAGTTGCGTTCTCACGATCCATTCGCTCGTCTTCATCAACGGACTGATATACACACACCAGGGGAGAGCGCAATACCCAGGTTTCTTGGGATGCTGCTGTCTACCCTGACGGTCTTTCTGAAGATTTCCTCCTCAAAACAAAATATTAAATCACAATGACGGTATTAGATTTTGATTCGATAAAATATTAAATACTGGTAGATCTTTCTGTGTGCCTCTTTGCTTACTGTTAAAGATGCTGCATGTCCGTGCTTTTGAAATGCTTTTTAATGTCGTTCTAGATCTTTTGAAAAGTATTACATATGCTAACTGAAAATCTTCGGTTTTGTTTTAGTTGTTATGCATGGTACTAAGTATTTTTTTACTAGTACTTTTATGATTAGTGGATATTTTTTGGATGAGTCTGTTTGAACTTTACTTTCCTTGTTAGTGAAATACTTATAGTTTTCCCGTATATTTATTGCGAGTTATCTGCTTCATTTCGTCCTGTAAAGGTTTGATATACTCCACATGTTGAATATGTAATATATTGTTGGCTATTCATCCCTTTGGTATTCTACCGTTTAAGCCTCTTAACAAGATCTGTCATTTTCAAATGCTTCGTATATATTAGATGTGTTAACAGTTTTGCTCAGCCAATAATCTTAAACTGTAGTATGTTTAATGTTTTTTTTAACTCCGGACTGTCATCGTTATGTTGTCGTTTTGATTATTTTATGCTGTTTATCTGGTAAGTTGAAGTTGTCTTTTCGATTTCTTCTAGAAGGAGGCGTTCAGGCTTTTTTCATGGAAGCCGTTTATATAAACTGATTGCACTGCACCCAATTGGTTTATTGTATATTTTCCATTTCTTCATGGTACCCATTCCAGAATTCTGGAACCCAGTACCAGCTAAGGTGCCAAAGTAGTCTCCATTCATGTTAGTCTCTACTAGAATTGCGAGGTCGTCTGCATATGCTATGGCGTAGGTGTCTTGACTATTGTCTATTTCTAATACCCCGTTTTATTTGATGCCTGCGATCCAATATTTTGCAGTCATGCAAGACATGATTGACTGTTTCAAGTTCTCTGCTACAGAGTTTGAAGCTTAGGTCTCCGTGAAACAGTCACATTGTATGCAGGTGCCCCGACTGGCGTATGTCCATAAAGGAAGCCTGTTATAGAGAGCTGATCAGCCCTATTAGCACATATCCGTCCAGATACTTATATTTTGTCATATGATTGACGGTATATTTTTCCAGTGTGAATTATGTTGCCTTCAGATCCAGGTTTTTTTCAGGTCAAGGACGATGCTTTGGGGCACTCTCACGGCCGTCGTTGGACCGAAGTATTTTGAAAAGTACATTAGCTCTTTCATTGTCCTATATTCCCCAGTGACCTGGAACCCATACCGGTGTGACACTGTTATGTTCCACCAGTTTGTCGAGTTCTTCTTCTCGGTCCCATGGCTGCTTGGCTATCTGTGCATACATTGAGTTGCTTCAGATCGAAACCCCCTATATTAATTTCTTTTGCACACTGCAAGATTGCATAAATCTGTGCCTGAAATACAGAGGATATTCTCTTAGTGGAATAGAAATGTTTAAAGTTGGCTACCAATGAGTCTGGCTATCATTAACGTAGTTATCGCTATCTTAGTTACTCGTTCTATCTATTCGTTGATTCCAAGTAGGCTTGAAGTCCAATATTACCCCAAGTTACTTTACTTCAGTCACCAGATTTAGATGTATACCATTTAAGCTTAGAGGATCCAATCCCTGTAAATTTCTCCTGCTAAATTTCATGACTTTGAACTTAAGCTGACCAGGTCATCCGCATAGCCCAGGAAATGATGTCTATCGTTACTGAACCTAGCTATCAGTCCATCCATGAACATTTTCCACAATAGAGGAAATAAAACTCCCCCGTGGGGACAGGCTCTGGCTATTTATGCTGACACTGTATCTCCCAATAACGTTGCTTTTATCATACATATTCTCAGCATGCAGTCTATATATCTGCAGCTTGCAGATTGTTTCATCTATTCCTTTTAGACAAATAGCCCATGTGATTGCTTTTCAGGAGATGTTGTCGAATGCTCCCTCTATATTGAGAAATGCACCTAACAGCCATTGTCATGTACTGACGGAGTTTTCAGTACAAGTGACATCAGACTTTTTTTTGGAGGACCGGGATTTTGTAATGGTTGAATTTATATCTTTACTTTATCGATAACTAAATGGTTCTTGGTAATTGTCTGTTTTAGAATAATCTTAGCATTTTATAAATGCGATTTTCATAAGTTAGTGATTTTCCAAATAAAGAGTTTGTTCTTTATTATGGTTTATTCCCAAACTGTAGGGGAAAGGATGAGGTAGCTGCTTCTATGAATTAAAAGTAAATATTTGAAAAATTATGATCTCACCTTTCTACATTTGCTAGATAAAAAATAAATAAAACCTCGAAGGACCAGCGACCATAGGTCGCAAAATTGCGGATTATTAATAAGGTAGTGAGTAGTAAAGTAACAGTAGAATAATGAAAACAAGAATAAAAGCTAGAAATATTTTTATTATATTATTTACAAAAATAAATAGAAACAGCAGAATTGCCAACAAATTACCCTTTTATAATAATAAAATATAAATGTTTATATACAATGTTCTTAAACACACAACTGTTTATATTAAGTTATAGAACAATACAGTTTATAGGTAGATTATTGAATATCCGGCAACCCTGTAATTTGTCGGACCGGCATTTATGAAATGTTGGCACGAAACTGTAGATTATCTTCTGTATAAAAGAATAATTTCAGGTACTTACATATTCGATGCACAAACACTGAATTTAGTTTAATTAACTATTCAATAAAATATGTTATTTAAAAACCGCTTCTATTTGAGAAGCGTGAGAACTATCTTGCTTCTATCTGGGAAACTGAGAAATGATTTGACTTACGTCCTTCTATTTAAGAAGACAAAAACGAAGTGGCGTTAAGGGTAGTTGGGTTTTAATATTTTGATGTAAAATTCTGACAGGCGCAGAAGATACGAAACAGCACGAAGAAGGAATGTCGTGCTGATCGATATACTTTAATTTAGTAAGATATGTTAGTGGGAATAATAATAATTATTAGAATAAAAAACAAACTATTGTAGAGAATATAATTAATTTTCTACAGGCATTCATAACAATATGTTTTACAAGTTGGTTATAAGCTATTAATAACTGCTGGTATCTTCTATTACTAACTGATTTTATAACATTTTTAGGTTGCTCAAGAACGTATTGAGGAATTAGGTCAAAGTGTTGGGTATCAAATAAGACTTGAAAAGAAGTTACCAAGAGATACCGCCTCAATATGTTTCTGTACAACTGGTGTAGTATTAAAAAAAATGGAAGATGATCCTTCTTTATCTAGAGTTTCACATCTTATTATCGATGAAATTCACGAACGTGCAATCCCATCTGATTTTTTAATTACACTCTTGAAAGAAGTACTAAAGAAGCGGACTAATTTAAAAGTGATTCTTATGAGCGCCACTTTAAATGCTGAAGAGTTTTCCAAGTATTTTGACAATTGTCCCCATATATGTATTCCCGGTTTTACTTTTCCAGTCGAGCAATACTTCTTAGAAGATGTACTACAAGTAACTAAATTCAAATTTTTTTCAGACAGGTCAAAAAAATATTTCAAATATGTAAGACAACAGAGTGAAGAAGAACTTGAATTTGATAAGTATATTTTGCCTCAAATAAAAATGAAGGCTTTCGAAAAACAATATGATAAAGAAGTGTATGAACAATTATGTAACTCTGAAAGCGAAAAGTTAAATTTGAATCTTGTATTAGCGTTACTTGTCAAAATTTGTCAAAAAGATGGAATGGCAATTTTAATATTCGTACCAGGCCTGACAGATATTTCTGACCTTAACAAGTCTATTAAAAACTCAAACCTTTTTGACCCAAATAAATATCTGATAATTCCTTTACATTCGAAGATGCCGACAGTAGATCAGAAACAAATTTTTAATCCTGCACCACACGGAAAAAGAAAGATTATTATTTCTACCAACATTGCAGAAACTTCAATTACAATAGATGATGTTACACATGTTATAGATTGTGGCAAAATTAAAATGTCTGATTTTGATGTAACCACTAATACGGAAACACTCAAAACAAGATGGGTAAGTGTAGCAAATGCAGATCAAAGAAAGGGTCGTGCCGGTAGAGTACAAGCAGGTATATGCTATCATCTTTTTAGTACATATAGGAAAAAGCGTTTGGATTTATACCAGAAACCTGAAATTCTTCGTACAAGATTAGACGGTACTATTTTACAAGCAAAAATATTACAACTTGGTAAAGTTAATCAATTCTTTCCTAAATTAATGAATCCTCCAAGTGCTGAATCCTTATCGTTAGCATTGGATCTACTTAAAAGATTAAATGCTTTAGACGAAAGTGAAAATTTAACGCCGCTGGGTTACCATCTAGCAAAATTACCCATGTCTCCGCAGATAGGAAAAATGGTATTATTTGGAGCTATATTTAGCTGTTTAGATCCAATTCTGTCAATTGCTACTTCTTTGGATTTTAAAGACGCTTTTCAGATTCCATTAGGAAAGGAAAAACAAGCAGATGCTAAAAAAAGAGAACTGGGAAAAGGATTTATGAGTGATCACATCGTTTTGCACATAGTAATGGAAAAATATGAAAAAATGAATAATCCATCTTTTTGTTACGATTATTTCTTAAGTTCCTATACCTTAAAGCTATTAAAGAAACTGAAAGAACAATTTATGGGCTATCTTCTTGAATTAAAATTTGTATCAGATTTGAATCCAAAAAATATAATCAATAATGTAAATTCGGGAAATATCAGTTTAGTAAAAGCTGTGGTTTGTGCTGGTTTATTTCCAAATGTTGCTATCGCCAAACATGATAGGAGAGGAATAGTTAGGCATCTACATTCTCCAGACAGACAAACAAGATACGAATTTCATTTGAAATCAATATTAACTGTAAATCAACCTTTCCCGTCACCTTTAGTAGTATATTATACAAAAGTAAAAACTAGCAAAGAGTATATTCATGACGCAACAATGATATATCCTTTACCCCTTATTTTCTTTGGAGATCAGTATAAAGCAATAAGGGAATCTGATAATTTTTTCATAACAGTTTCCAATTATTTAAGATTTTCTAGCAACTTTTTCACATATCAGCTGATAACAGAGCTAAGAAATAGAATGAATTGGTTCTTAGAGTATAAAATTACTTCTCCGGGTGTTGTAGATTGGACTAATCCTAGCGACAATCTTAATATTTTACAAGCTGTTGTCGAACTTATAACTGCTGAAGATATAGGAGAAATTGATTCATTTGATGATGAAGACACATATGATCTAATTTAGAACAATACCCCGCATATTATTACAATTGGTGAGTTCTGTTGTAAATTATTAATTACTTATTAAAAACATTGTTTTTTATATTTACCGTTATTATTCTTATTTCCATTTCCTTAACCTTTTGAAACAAGAAAATCTGGAAAACATATATGAACTGGATTCATCACTGACGATTATAGGATTAAATACTATGCCTATCTATTTATAAATGAACTTTAAACGCTAATTTACTGACAATTAAGTAAAATGTAGATATGTATGAATTTATTCATTATTTAAAAGAATGCATAGTTATTAAAATAAAAAAACGAGGGTGACAAATTTCTAATACTAATCTGCACATACATTCTAATCCAATAACAGATCTGCTGCTTCCAAAGGCAATTCCTGTCCATTAGACCAACAAAGCTGTACTAGAAAGAAATGTTCGACAATAACCGCCAAAAGGCGTTGAGATTTATAAAGTACATACATACAAACGTAAAGTGAAGAAAAATGTGATTAAAATTTTTACTGTCACGCAAACAAACATCTTGCTGTGAAGAAATAAATTTAAACGGCTTAGTTATCGGAAAAAAGCCACTGAAATTTTTAAATAACACGTCTTAATAAAAATGTTAATAATTGAGCTGCCAAACAATAAATAAATTCAAAACTTTAGGACACAGAAGTAATGTCGGTTATACGCAAAATAAGATCGGGTTAAGTTGATGTTTGAACACAGTAACGAGCTATCGAAAAAAATCTACCTTGGAATAAGCCTTCCTTTCTGCGGTTGGTTGGTTAGTCACTTAGCCAAACAAGACAGTAATCAATGTAATTAATCATGTCTAATATAAGTTGTATTGATCTGATTTCTTTAAATTTCACAGAAAATAAATCAGTTTGAAGCATTTTTAAACGCTTTTGGTTATTTTGCAACATATCGCCGATTCGCAAAAACGTAGGTTTAAGTCAAAATTTGACGAAATGGGCTTATTAATACAGATCTACGAAAAGTATCTATCGCATAAATAAAGACCTATTACGGTAATAATAATAGTCGTTAAGAGATGGCAATAGAGTATATATTTGTTTGGCGCGAAAGTAGTTAAATACGTAACATTTTCGTATAAAGTTACAGTCCGAAGTTGGTTACGGAAGTTAACTTCTCGTCAAGGACGATCGTTTTTATATTTACGATTAGTTTTTCTGAAAATTCTCTCTATAATAAGGACACTTTTTAATTAGATCAGTGTTTTTGAGAAAGTAAGTACAGTTTTATGATATATTTGTTTTGATTTTATCTTTGCAAAAAATACTATACCATATTCATAGCGATCAACAAAAGCATGCACAGAACATGCGAAACCTGATGTTTATATAATTGTACAGGGTTGTATTAAGATTCTAGTAGTCTATAACATCTGAATTTAAAATGAATTAATTTATAATTTTTAGGATTACTGTTAAAATAAATAGTAATCAATGATTAATCGTCCAAACAAGTATATTAGTTTTTATAAACTGTCATTCACACATCATTAGTTAATTGTGGTATTAATCAAAAGGCAAAAAATAAAATTTTATACATTTTAGATATATTTTACGCTTTCTATACATTTTACGCTTTAAGATCAATATTTGGAAATAAGTAATAATATTATCATTAATGATATACAAAGAGACCTCTTCTTGTGTAAAAGTTAGGGAAAATATTTATACATATATTATTGGGTAGATAGACTTTACATTAACATTAATAAATAAAATTTATTAAGTCGACGTTTCGATTTCGATTTAACATTTATTTGTGTCAGGAGAAACGAATGTATATTTAGAAGAATTGTGACGTCACTATTTTTGATGCAGGTTATGTCGAAGATGGCTCGAAATATCAAAATACCGTTTTCGGATTTTAATTCAGGAGACAAAACTATATATATGAATCCATCGATAGATCGTCCTCAAGTAGGCAACAACGCACAAACGAACATACTTTGCGGATGTAAAACGAAAGGTTTTCTTTGAAAATTATGAAAAAACCTTTTACTATTACATATAAGTCATACCGAATTACGAAAAATAAGTACTGGAAAACTACATAGGTACAATGAGTAAAATGGGTTACAGTTATTCATTTTTAAAATATTCCATTTTGTTTATGTAATTTCGTATATTTTATTTATCATTGCTACTCATTTCCACATCAAAAGCTAGATCCACCTTCAACCGGATGGGGGCCTTCTTCAGGAGCCACAACCCCTCTCTTGGTATAAAAGTAAGAATGCTGCGATGCTACGTCTTCTCTGTTATTTTTTATGGTGTTAAATCGTGGACCTTGAACAAATATGTGCAGAAAATTGGAAGCATTTGAGATGTGGCTATATCGGAGAATACTTAAAATCCCGTGGACTGACCGAGTCACCAATGAGGATGTCCTCAGAAGAATAAAGAAGAACCAAGAGGTACTGACCACCATCAAATCTCGAAAGTTATAGTACTTTGGACACATTATGCGCAATGAATCCAGATATGACCTTACAAGCTATCCTGCTAGGAAAAATATTTGGACAACGGGGTCCAGGAAGAAGAACGTCCTGGTTGAAGAACCTCAGAACCTGGTTCAACACAACATCCATGCAACTTTTCCGCGCTGTGGGATATAAGGTAAAGATTGCCATGATGATCGCCAACATTCGTCACCGATAGGCACATCAAGAAGAAGTGAACTCATTTTCACACCACCATAGAGGTAGAGTGATAATGGTGCGTTTTTTATATGGTTTCCCCGGTAGGCCTAATCCACAAATACTTAAACTTAGTGAAATATTATTCTGAGGAACTAGATGTATCATCGTCAGGGTTTATTATAATTGAATCTACTCATTGACTTCTACTAAATTATCTAACTCCCACATTTTTGGTTCCACCTTTTGGGTAACATGATGTACACAATTTTTCCATTTTTGCGCAGTTATAGTGAATAGAGCTTCATCAAATAAATTTTTCATGTCGGCAAACTTAAAAGTTGTATTTTTAGCTGCTACATAATTTTTTATATCTGCCCATATCAGTTCTATGGGATTCAATTCACAGTGATAGGGTGGTAATCTTAAAACAATTTTATTTTGACTTTTCGCCATTTCGTCAACGATGTATTTATCATTTAATGTTTTTTATGTTGATTAACAAGTGCTAAAAGTTGCACTTTGAGAAGTGAGTCGTCAAAGGGGATGCTTTTTAGATGTAGCCATTCTTGGATATCCGCTTTTCTAGAAGATGTGGTGGGGATTTTTTCAGATTTTCTGGAATGGTACGACGCATTGTCCATTACTATCACAGAATTTGCTTCCAATTTGGGTAACGTTTTTTCAAACCAACTCTCAAAACCTTTTCCATCCATTTCCTCATGGTAATCTCCACTTTTCTTTGATTCAAAACTCTATAGAGCGTCAGGAACAAATCCGTCTTCGCTGCCTATGTGACAAATAATCAGTCTCTTTCCTTTACCTAAAAATTCAAATATTATTTATCAATTTCAATGTTCAACAAAAAATATTACCTGATGGATTTTTCAGATCTGTCGAGAGTCCATCCAAAAATGCTTGTCTTGATGAGGTGACTGACTTATCAATCCATGTTTTTGATTTAGTATGACTAGCGTTACTCCAAGGCTCATCTAAATAATATATTTTACGATTGCCATTCCTATGATCTTTTATCTGCCTTAAAAATTCTCTTCTCCAGATTACAAGGTCATCTCTGTCTGTAAGAATACTATTCCTGCCACGTTTGTCAAATTTGAATTGAAGTTTTTTCAAAAGCTTGTAAAAGGTAGTACGTTTGAAATAAGGTAGATTGGGGTCGTCGTTGACCTGTTGTAGAACTCTATCTATCGTGGGAATTTCATTTCTAAAAAAGAATTGATGCACTATTCTTCGTATCGCCACCTTGTCAAAATCATCTACAGATTTAAGTTTGCCTTTACGAGTGGTACATTTTTTTGGTGCAACTAATGTGTGTGTAGTTTTATATTCTCTAATAACTTTAAACACAGAACTATCCGATACTCCAACTTTATCGGCTACACTTTTCTCAACAGCGGACAATAATAACGCCGGATTTTCTTGTAACTCGTGCTTATACACGTTTACAATTATTTCTTTAACGTCTACGCTTAGACGCCTTTTTTTCGATCTCTTTTTGGGGGGAGTTAAAGGTATGTTTACAGGTTCATCGGCAGAATCCGTGTCCGACATATTAATTTGTTTTACTGATTGTATATACAAACCTGCAAAATATTATTTGCATGCTAATATTCTAATAAAATAATAGATAATAGATAATTGAACAGATATATTAAAAAGGTCAATAGTCACAATCACTATCTTTATTTTCAAGGTGTTACAGAAGCGACCAATTTCGAGGCTTACAATATTTGTCTCATCCTCAGGCAAAGCAAAGAGTTTGCAATAATTTGCAAAGCAAAAACAATAATATAGATATCGGCAATAAGAAGTTTTCCGCTTACATCCAGGGTACTGTCTGTCTCCATCTTTTCCTTTATGACACTATCTATTGTAGTAAGGTGATATGTTGATCATTATATACGTTGTAAATATGGTTGAGCATTAATGTGTTCTAAGCGTGTAACTGTTACTAAAGGTTGTTGTCTTTGATCCTTAAAATACTTTTTGGATGTTCTAGTTTTCGTTGTCAAAGTTTTTTTTATTATTAAAAAGGTAGGATTATCTTCTGGTTTATAATAAAATTAAAAGTAGTTAAACTCAAATACACATACAGTATAAGCTGCCACATCCGGACTGCATATATTTTAAAAACTTGTGGAAGATCGAAAATCACATATTATGCAGCAGAATGTCCTTTTTTTGTTGTTTTTGTCACGGGTTCTTACAAGGTAAAGACCTTTAGGTCTTTACCTTGTAAGACCTTTTATTTGCATACATATATAATGATCAACATATCACCTCACCACAATGATAGTGTCATAAGGAAAAGATAAAGACAGGCAGTACCCTGGATGTAAGCGGAAAACCTCTTATTGGCGATATCTATATTATTGTTTTTTAACAAAACAAA